CATTATTATTGAAATCTCTTTTCATTATTGTTGATTTTGATACCAATTATTTAATTTAACTTGCTTAATACAGCTCTGGTTTTATGAGCACACATCATTGGTCGTACCAGCAGTTCCTGAAGCTAGACCCCGAATGCTAAGATGGCCAGTAAATGTTAGATGGAATGCTATACAGATTCAACTAGCGTTCAACATGCTCAGCCCTGCCGAGGTTAATTAAATAAAGTTCAATAATAGTTTGTCAAGTTTTCATGTTATATATTAATTGCCCCTGATTGTGTGCTATGTTTTCTTGGCAGGTGTATGATTATTTCCTTGATTTAAAGGAAAGTGAACATCATTTACTTGCTAATTCACTTGTAGAGCCCTCCAGTCCAACAAAGTTTCTCCCACAGAGGGAAACCCTTTCAAGACCACAGTCACCCATGCATGTTGAGGTATCCCCTATAGTACCTTATTATGTTGGTACTCAACCATCCGACAATCATACATATGAACAGTCGAGTCAGAGGATGGGACAAACATTTGGATTTGAAGAGATCCACGATTTATTGAAGTCCCAACAAAAAAATATATTGGACTTTCAAGTATCAGTTGACAGTCATCTAGCCCAGTTAGAGAATACAATTTTAGAATTTGAAAACTCTGTTTATAGTTGACTGACAACGTTAGAGAATACGGTCACCGACCTAAAGTTACATGTCGTGCGAGTAGAGAAAACAATTAAACAAACGCCGGTGGAATTGCCGAGAAGATGGGCTAAAGAATCCCCACAAAGAAGCTTGATCAAAAGGATTAAGGATAGGTTAAATAGAAGAACAAAGTCTCTAGCTCCCCCATATGTTGTTTTTGAAAGAAAGCGAAAGAAAGAACCCATTAAGGGATCGGTTGAAAATAAAGAAGAAGAAGAAGTGGCTGTAGACCAAGTTAATAAATCTCAAGAAGAGGTTAAATCAGTACATAAGGAGGAAGAAGCACTCCAGCCAGCCAGTCATTATGTTAGTGAGGACTACCCAGAAAAGGTATGGAATGTTAGGTTTAATTATTTAAGTTTGTTCAGCAAAGATTATGATTTCATTATATTACAGGTCCAGCCAGCAGCACAATTAATCTACTTTCCTGCTAGGGATGAAATTCCTGATTATATGCGGGAGACAATTGATATATGTTGTAGAAAATATACCGACTTGTTAGTTCATCTAATTCTTCTTATTTTTTATCACTAACTTAGTAACTGTTAACTAAAGTAATTTTATATTTCCAATTCAGGGGTGACCTATTAATTGACATGGGACATATTTCAGTGCCGCGACGTTATGTTGATGAGTTTTTGGGAAATGGTTGGTTAGGTAATGAGCAGGTTGATTGTTTTGCCATGTTGATGGAGAATAAGCGATGTACTGCATCACAGCTATATAGATCTTATCTATATGTATCACCATGCCACTGGGTAAGCTTATTAAGTTGTGTATTTATTTATTAAGTTGTGTATATCAATCTTACATGACAATTTGCTGAATGTTGTTATGTTCTTCATGGTGCAGTTGTATAGACAAGGTAATGTGAAACCCTTCGTCGAACATATTACAAAGGATGCTATCCAGAATACAAAATTAATATTGATACCTATAATAAATAATCAACATTGGATACTCCTTGTTGGGACAATGAATGAGAGTAAATGGAGAGTTTATGCTCTTTACCCAACTGGATGCATTTGGTCATCACCCAAAGTATTGTAAGTTATAATTATTTAAAGATTGAGCATTTTTTGAGACACATTTAATGACTCGTCTTTAAATACACAGATTGAGCATTTCTTAAAGGATACCATTGATGCTTTCGAGGATAATTTGATTAAGTGGCCAGTTTTAATGACCAGGGGAATACCAGTGCAAAGTAATAGTTATGATTGTGGTGTTTATGTTTGTAAATATATGAAGACACTTGTTAGAAAAGAGAAGGTAAATTAGGCGGAGAAAAAGGACTGGTAGGAATTAATGCATTTATTTAAAGCAGAGATTGTATACGACATTTGTAAATATGCTTTGGAGAAATCAGAATAGGTTTCAAAGGTCAACGTTTATTGTTGCTAATACGAATTTTGTTTGCCAAGATATACAATTTTGATTGATCTCATATGGTATGTGACCTTTATATGCGCCTTTTACATGATTTATAAATATACAAACTTTTTTTTTAAATATCATTATTTATGTCACTGTGACAGGTTTAATTTTGTCCTCCTGACTGTTAGGTTTGCTCAGTATCTAATATTGTTCATCCAGCTGTTGGAACTAAAATTGTTCATAAGCATTACAATTAATGTTTTATTTATCTTCCCTTGTGCAGATTGCTGGAACATCTACTTTCCTGTTGATGGAAGCTTGTCGGTCGGACCTGATGACGGAGCTGATTGTTGGAAGAATTTACACATGGTGAAACATTTGATGTGTGTGTGGGGTTGTATGTGGCTATGGATGTGGATGTGGGTATTGTATTGTTGTAAAGAAAATGTTTGTTGTAAAGAAATGTTTATTATACTGTTGTAAATAAAATGTGGAGTTGTATAGCAGCTATTGCATTTCGTTGCCCTATACTTCATTGTTATATATAATGTGGTGAGAAATTTGTAATTCCTCACTTGATAGGGTACTTTTCCTGTACCCTTGCACATTGTACACCGTAAGGCTTGCCAGCCATTGCATGTGTGACAATTCCTATAAGAAATGAGAAAGAAAGAAAGATAATTATGGAAACCACAAAATTACTATAAAATTTCATTATTGGATACTCATAACTATAGAGAAGACGAGTCTTCATTTCAAAAGAGTATTTTGGTTAGTTCTGCAATGGCTAGTTGAAAAATATGTCCCTTTTTGATGTGTTTGAACTTTTGACTTGTAGAGAAATGTTGTCCATTGATGTATCAGGTAAAATTTTGATCACCTTTTGGTCATACTCCCTAACAGATAACCAATCAATGGTCCAACATGAAGATAAATTTCTCCTGGCATAAATAGATTATAAATCTTCCATCTTGTAAATATATGTCATTCTCTTTGGAATTGGGTTGATGCCATACATAACCATAACATGATTAACAAATTTTGACCATATGAGTAGCATGCATCACAAACTTAAAAATTGTTGAATAATGGGTGTATAAAAATTTCATTAATACAGACAGTACTGCTTCAAAAGAAAATATCAGAATTACAATAATGTATACAAATTTCTAGATACATCCTCCTCAACAAATTTCTTTATATAGAGAAAAGTACACAGAAATTAATATCCCAATGAAATTGTCATTGAAAAAAAAATGTTGCGTGCATCCTGACTAGAACCTGTATCAAAAAATGTCAATACTAACAAATAAAAACATTCAATTTAAGAATATGTCAAATTACTTACTGATCATGTATTGGATCTGTCATCATTGCAGTGTATGATTCTCTATGTCTTGGAGGAAAGAAATTCTGCATATGGAATAACCACAATTATTATAAGATAAAAATAATATACACAAATTTCCTCATAAGGTTGCTGACCTGTGTTAGAAAATTAGGCAGTGATGATATGTTTGGATAAGGATTGAAAGACTTGGGTTCTTGGCTACTTGAAACTTCAACAGGTGTACCTATATAAGTTGTACGAAAATCAGTCCAAGAAAATAAAAAACAGCAATTTTTACGAGGATATACCTTTTGCTCTTTTTCTTCTCTCCCAGTAACCTTTTAGCCTGGCATTGGATATTCCTTTGGGTCGCATTTTGGCGGGATCAGGAAGATTAGATTGATTACTCACCTGATTTTTTTTACTTTTAGGTTGTTTGACTAACTTTGGAACTCTTCCACTTATTATATTATCAATATTCAATGATAATTTTTTCATCGCATCCTTCATGCACAGCTCAGCCTCTTCGTTTCCCTTGGCTTTATTAGTGCATAGATATGACATCTTTTGCATGTGTGTTTCGAATATTAAGCTACCTTTCCCATCGTTCATTATTTGTGACTGTTGGAAGTGCTTGTATGCATCATTGTTGTACACATCTCTCTTTACATTTGCGGACCATCTCAGTAGGAGATATTTATCTGGGATCTTCTTAATATGTAGAAAGTTTAATACTCGTAGAGCATGGGCGCATAATAGCCCCATCATTTCGAATTTTCTGCAGCTGCATTGAACCTCCAAACTGAAGGGATCATAATGAACCACCCAAGTTCTGTTTGTGGTCTGGTCATCCAAATTATTAATAAAAAATTCATTTTCATTGTTCATAGAGGCATGCAATTGAAGGCCACATGATCCATGAATGAATTCTAACTCAAACATATTATAGAGCTTCCTCGAGTAAAATACAGATGCCTGCCGCAATATAGGACTGCTTTTGGCAACTGGAGTGATCACAGATTGATCTGACTTATAATATTCATCCTTCTCGTTACGCCTCCATGCTCTCATTACTTGCTCAAGCCCCAGAAAACAATCTGTAATTGAACTTGTGGGCTTAGCAACACCATGACAAATATTATTCGTTGATTCACTTCTCTGGGTGGATAAAATCCCCATTCCGAATACATCCTTATTAAAGGCTGTAGCCCACTTATCTCTGATGTTGTACATCTCATCTAACCAAACGTTGTCTTGTAGATTACAACTTTCAATCATCATCTCCCACGAGTTATCAAATTCCTCTACAGACTCGCATTTGCTCATGCACTTATAAAAAAGATTAGCTACTATTTTATTCGCTAACCCGCAGTGAACCTTTGTGGCCAACTTCTTATATATGTGCCACTGGCATAATCTATGTCGTGTATCTGGCAAGATTTGTTCTATGGCTTTTCCCATTGCTTGGTCTTGATCAGTATATATTGTAATTGGATGATTGTCGCCCATGATACGGAGGAAGGTTTTGAAAAGCCATTTGAAAGACTCTGTCGTCTCATCTGACAAAAAACCAACGCCAAAGAGAACATTTTGCCAATTGTGGTTAACACCAACAAAAGGAGCACAACACAAGTTATATCTATTTAATCTATAGCTCGTATAAAAAATGATAACATCACCAAAGCAATCATAATCATGCCTAGAAGTGCCACACGTCTCTCTGTGAAAAGTTGCAATAAAGCATTGGCATCGCCGTTTTCAATTCTACATCTCCTCTCTCTTTGAATGAAATTAAAGGCATCTATCTTGGTGCACTCCAATTTCTCAACTCCTCCAACTTCTGTGGCTAGAAAGTTAAATGCATCTCTAGGTCTTATTCCTGACTGTGTCATCAATTTGAGAACCTCTGCGTTCACTTCGCTTATCTTTCTACTAGACCACAACAGATGCTTCTCACCAGGGTTAGCTAAGGAGTGGTTATGAGACTCAATGAATTTTTTAACTGTCCAATTGCCTTCAGCATCAACTGCGTAACGAATCATAGCCGGAAACCCGCTTCTTGTGTCCGCTCTTTTGTACTTAACAATTTGTGTGGCCTTCAACTCTTTCTTGAAACCTGCTCTCCCACAAACAAAGTCTTTCGTCTTAAGATTCTTGGAGTTAGGCCAGAATGTGTCGTGCTCCTTACGGACACTAAATCCGATATGATGCGCGTAAGCACAATATACTTCGTAAGCTTCTTTTTCATTGTGGACAACCGTTTCAAATAAAATATTTCCACTTTCATCTCTACATTTAGCTTCACCCTCATCCAACTGCAAACAAATATAAAACTATATTAAACTACTATTAAACTACCCTACAACCCTAATTAGCACATCACAACAAACAAAACAAAAATCACAACTTTACAGACATTCAAATCCATAATATTCTTATAAATCATACAACAAATAAGATCACCCTAAAAAAAGACTACATTTTAATAAAAACTGAAGATCTCTACCTAAGAAAATCACCATAAAACACAGTAAGATACACACCAACGAAAACGCCAAAAAAACTACCTAAACACACCAAGAAACAAAGATATCTCGGCAGAAAAAACACAGAAGTTTCTTTAAAAAAATACAGAACTGCAAACATACAACCAATATACCTCCACTTTAACATTGACTTGTTCTGTGTTGGCTGAAAATATACC